GGTTGCGAGATGTTGTGACGAAAATGAATCGTGTGGCCACACTTTAAAAATATGTGTGCTGCACCTATATTTGTATGCTGTGCGCTCCAGTGTGGCCCACAAAAGTATGGTCTAAACAAAAACTAGTCCACAAACTGTCCAAGTACAGCGCTCAGATCAATTATATTGCTTCCGACCACAAGCAGTCGACAAACAGTGTATGGACGAACTGAAAACAAAATGCATCCGGTCTGACCAAAATACGTCCACAAACAGTCCATGACTTGTGGAAAGTGTGGTACACCCAATTATGTGTCTTGTGCGGATTTAGGTGGGTCACATAAATATGTGACTTGATCATCTGTGACTTGTGCCTCTGTGACTCGTGAGCGAAATTATATATTTCAAACACTGATTCGAGTGCTCCCTTAAATAGCATCCCAAGATGCCTAATAGCCTCGCTATTTCATAGGATTGGACGTACACCGGTGTTGTTCTATAGTTTTTCGACGGGGGGCACTAACTTTTAATTAGTAGCCTTGAAGCTAGATAGAAGCTTATAGATGGGGATATTGCACCAAATGTAAGGGAGTAAGCCCATTCTAGCCAAGCATAGAGATTGGATTGTGTGGCTTTGGCATTGCATATGTCATCATTAGGGGGTAGGAGAAGCCTGAAAGTATAAAGGTGGGTTCCTAATAAATATAATGCAAGCAACAGGCACTACCTATGATGATGATCTGCTCGCACTTGGTCTATCTGTCTGCAAGTGCCTGTTTCTCTGCTTCAATGCCCTCTTATTATCCCTTCTCCTCCCACGCTGCGTTCAAAGTATATCTATTATTGAGCTCTTGCTAGACTTCCCTGTCCTCTCCAATAGAGTTAATTAGTTCATCGATGAATATTTAGCCAAAATTTACACCCTTTCCTAACAAAAAATAACAACCACAGCCCATGGCCAGGATGGATAAGCCTCATTGAACTTGAGGCACAATCTGAGCAAATATTCCAATACAAAAGTTAATAATCTGTGCTAGTAATATCTGAGGCCATTACTATGCTGATTTTGGGTAATTTTTATTAAGGGCGAAGTATAAGTGGGTGGTTATGAAAGAGCTTTTCACTATTTAATCCTTTAATTATTGACCTTGCTATAGTATATCTGGTAAAAAAATTAATTTCTTTAACTTTTCTTTAAGAAATCATAAATCAATCCACTCACCTTTTTGTTAATTACCCCCCATCCCGACACCTTTATAAACGAGCTTTAATTGGTCAAAAGGCTGATCAAAACTTAGCAATCTGACATTTTCAAGACCATCAACATGAACTTCCGATTCAATTAACTTCCTTAAAATGTGAGTGTAACGGGGTCACACTAGCCATCTGCTAATTGGTTAAAGACCTCCCATATATGATCGGGGAGACAAGTGTGGCCTCACTGTGGAAGTACTTTATACCGTCATCATTTGATGACTGAGTGATGTGCCAACCATCCATTTAGTTCGAATACTAATATTTGTATTAGTTTTAGTTTAGTCTAATGTAGGAACCTTAAAGTAGGATTTTTTTGATATAAAATCTAAACAAAACTCAGTTCTCATTTTGAGCGGAAGTCCGTAGACTTCTCCCTTCCGCACGTTGCGCTTGACAGTTCCTTAGAACTTTCGTGGGTAGAGAGTATTTAGACTCCTGTGTTTCCCTTTCACATTGTGCGTTTAGTTCCTTAGAACGATAGTAGTCTGAGCTAATAGCTCAAAGAGTCCGCGCTAAGTTCCGTAGAACTAGCCGACTCTTTAACCTGACAAATCAGTTCCTTAGAACTAATCTGACTACTAGCCCTCAAAAAAACTAATTGGCTGTTATCCTTAAGCCTCTGGCTTAACCCGTAAAGTCTTCCTCCGACTTCATAGCTGAGGAACTCCGCTATTGGTAGCACTTGTAGTCAATCCTACACCTGAGTCGTTTTTGACTGATCCTCTGTAAGAGATGGAGAGTCTTGACTACCTTTTCGAGGCCCAACGTCTCGAGCTCGGTAAGCTTAGAGCGTTGATCGGGGTCGAGCAGTTCAATCACATTGTGTCACAAGGCCCGGAAATGCTCAATGCACGCCTTGATGCGTTCATGCAGTTTGAGGCCACTCTAATCGGGCAGGTCCATGACCATTTAGCCTCAGCTATACCTACACAGTACACTCCAGTACCTGACAGTGAGCCAAAGGCTCGTCCGCTCGCTCTTAGCGTTCAGACTTTTGACACAAAAGTGGGGAGGGGATCTCCTTCTCTGGATCCAAGAAGTCGGTATGGCTATTAATGCCGCCATGCTCCAATCTGAGCAACAGAAAGTTGGCTAGAAATTTCGAAATTTAACGCCAGAGAATGGCCTCTGACGTGTGATGCGTCGGTAGAAGCTGCGTTTTCCACGTGGGATGCGCTTAAACGAGAGATGTCTCGGTTGTTCGCGCCACCAAATCAAGCGCACCGTGTACTCTCCCGTTTCCTTTCCGCCAGGCAGGGGAAGAAAGAATTATTGGACTTTGTCCAGGCGTTGCTAACTCTCATAGCTGCCATGTAGCTCGACCCTCTTCCAGAAGAAGTCCGTGTCACCATTTGTATGGAAGGACTTCGTACTGTGGTCGCGGGAAGGAAGTATTCCGTGTCCACACCTTAACGTTTGAAGAGGCTGTAGACATAGCGTTGAACGCTGAGTTCAACATTAAAGCTGCTCGCTATAACACTCATGGGCATGCATAAATTCGTTTGACGGTACTGGTCCCATGGACCTTAGCCATGCTGAAGAAGAAGAAGCCGAGCTTTAATCTGTTTAAAATCAACGTAACATCCGTAGATGCTACACGTGCAGGAAAACCAAACACTTGCATCCACAGTGTACTCTGCGGAAAACGCGTCAAGTCGGCGGAGCCGCAATCCGTCTCCTAACCCGAATATGGGTACGGAGCAGGAAAACTTCAACTCTCAGTAGGTGCGGGGCGCCCTACTGGGTAGGAACTAGGCTCAGCCAAATCTCTAGGTGGTAGAAGATAGACAGGGTTTAGCCCCAGACGGACTCTTGGAGGTCGCCACGAGGCGTGAGTATAGGTCAGGCTTGTTAAGCGCCTCGGCTAAGATTGAGGGCTTTGAAGAGTCGTGGTCAATTTTGATTGACTCTGGGGCGTCGGGCAACTGCAATCGGTGCCGATCCCTCGAGGGATGTCAGCAGTATGCTGAGGCGCTCAAAGCGCATGAGGGTGATGTTATCACCTTTCGCTTGGCAACAGGGACCCGTGTTACCGTACCTAAAGTTCATTGAACTTAGGCGTAAAGTTATTAGACTTTGATAGTATCGAATGTTATCTTTTCCTTGATTTGGACTCGAAGATGAGATCTCACCCTAGAAATGGCTTGGCTGGAACGTCATGAACCATTGATTGATTGGAGGTCAAAGACCTCAGGCGCAACGCGCAATGTTCCTAGCGAAGCTGTAGAGAGTCATGAACCCACCTTCGCTAGGCAACAAAAGCACTATTGGCGCGAGCCCCTAACTGATTCTGTTAGTGTGCTGGACATCGGAGTGTGTGAGCTAATTAACTCTCACGTCATTTACAATAATTAAAAAGGCACGATCTCTGTTGAGTGACACTGGTAACAGTGAATCACTGAATGCTAGTAGCACTGATGGTCTAGAGCCGAGTCATCCTGGGTGTGATCCCTGTGATTCGAGTGGAGTGGCGCGCATAAATCCACCGGGTGAGGAGGCTGCAACAGCGCCTCACCGAATGTCGCGAATGAAATTGTTGGCAACATGCCATGGCATCCAGGGCTAATCCCGAGTGCACGTGCAGTGGAACGTACTTTACAGAGTGAGTTCGGCCGTGGTGGCACCCCACTGAATGTCGCTATTGACATTGCTGGTGATTCACCAAGGCATCGAGAGCCATGCTTATATGATGCGACTATAGTGGAGAATAATCCGCATAGTAGAGTCGGCCGTGATGGCGCCACACTGGATGTCGGTAATGACATTATTGGCGATACGCCAAGGCATCAAGAGCCATGCTTATTTGATGCGAATATCGTGGAAAATAATTCACTGAGTGGGGTCGGCCGCGATGGCACCACACTGGATGTCGGTGATGACATTGGCTCTCAGATAGAGCAAGCTGAGGCTGGAGATGATCTTCACCTCGTGTAACCGGAAGTTACTAACGTGTTGAAGTGTTCAGTCTCTGTGTAGAGACGTCAGCGAATCCAGATGGCTGCTGCAGAACGAAGGGCATTTGCCATGTCCCAAAAGGATACCAGTGAGCGGTTGTACACATTGGTCAATGGTGTGACGGGCGATATTGATGAAGAAGTTGGCCTCGAGACTCTCTTAATGCTCAATGCTATGTTAGAGCTAGATGAAATATCTGTAAATGAATTCTATCAGGCCTTGAAGTCCGGAACTTTGTCTTATATGGTGGTCCTTAGACCTTACCTAGAGTTGAACTCGTCATCCACTTTGGATGAGACAGTCCTTGAGGAAGCTAAAGTTGCACTAAGTCCTCGCAGTGGATCTGCTATCCTGAAGGATCCTTCGGATCCGTTCTACATCTTGGTTAGGGAGTTTCAGGATTTGAGTGTAATGGTCCACCATCTACCCAACCTCCCGACAGAGGTGTGCGTCACGAGGTTGACCTGGTCCATGGGACCAAGGATTGTGATGCCTTAGAAATCGTGTGACGTCTTAGAAGAGCTCTCTCGTGTAAAGCACAAAGCAGGCATGGTACGTAGAGAAAATCCCCGCATTTGACACCTACATTACGTGTCAGGAAGCCTAGTTTACCTAGAAAGGATGTTCTTCAGAACAGTTTGGTGGGTTGTACCATGTGCAATGCACTAGACTTGGTCGATGGGTCTTTCCAATTGCTCATGAAAGCGATTGGTTTTCTGCTCACAGCGGTTAGTGCACCAAGTGGCACGCTTTGGAAGTGGCTTGTCATACCCCAAGGGCTGTCTAATGCCCAGGTTACAGTCAATCGT